ATGAGTGCTCTGTTGAGCGGGGGCGGGGTAACAGGAGCGAGTGGTGTTTCCGCACACCTGCTCAGAAGTGGCAGCGGGAGATGATCCAAACCTACAGTACAAAGAAGAACATGAAGATCATGGTTTGGGGGGCCTTTTGGGCAGAAGGCCGGAGCAATTTATACCTTATGGACCGTGACTTTGACTCAAAGAAGTTTGGATATACTGCAAACTCATACCTTGAGGTTCTAGAAGCAGAACTCCTCCCTATTTTTGAGAGTCTTGACTCTAGCTACTCATTTATGCAAGATAATGCTCCTATCCATACTGCGGGTATGGTTACAGACTTTCTTGAGGAGCATATGATTACTACACTCTATGGGTGGCCGCCCTACTCACCCGACCTCAACCCAATTGAGCACATTTGGTGGCACTTGAAAACCCGGGTGTGTGAGATGTTCCCTGAAATTGCAAAGGATAAATCAAACTCAGAACATGCAAGACAGCGTCTAGAATCATGTTTGCAAGCAGCATGGGACACATTAGACAAGTCATTGTTTGATAAATTGTGTACGAGTATGCCGAGTAGAATTGAGGCATGCATTCTAGCAGACGGGTGGCATACAAAATACTAGAATACCCATTTTTTATACTATATACTATAGGGGCTTATTTTGTATAGCTTTCAATTCTAATTACAATGGATCAATTTTTACATCTATCGCTCTAAAATTGCATATGTTATGAGCAAATTAATTATCTACGTTCGGTGGCTTCACGGGTGGTTTTGCGATTCGGTTAATAGCACATAGCTGGTTGGTACTAGGCCTCTTCATAAATACAGTCAAACCCTTGTTAAGACGATGGCATCCGTAGCAAGCATTTCCATCGTCTTATCGTATATATCGTTATATAGAGTAATATTATGTAAGCCACCTATCTAACGTAACCTGCTGCTGTGACTGTGCTCGAATAGCCTCAATGGCTGTTTGCAGCCGCTCTAGTGCCCGTATATGCCCCGTAGTAAGAGCATCCTGGCCTTCAGAATACTCAATCAGTATCTGGAGGGCATCCTGGGCCTCCTTTGCTGTAGGCGCAGGCTGCTCAGGCTGCTCCTCCTCTTCGTCATCATTTTGAGAGTTCTGATGCCCAAGTTGCCCCTCTATTATCTCCTCAAATAGTTCTTCATCGGTAGTCTGTCCTTCCACCGCTCTAGCCTCTTCCACAGGGTTTAGAAAGTTCGAAATAGCCATTGAGTCTGTAATTGATGCTGTAGTTATCGCTTGGTTGTAGAGTTCTTGTATTCCAGTAGGCATCGTTATTGTTGGAAGGCTAATTGGATTTGAAACAAGTGTAGATTTCCGGAAGCAGTTGTATATTGTAGTGTTTGAAACTTCTGTATTCCAAGCACGAATAATCCAGCGAAGAGCGAGTCGAAGATTCATAAGTTTCTGTGGATCTTGATTTGAATCAATAGTGTCGATTATAAACTGAAGCCAATGTTGTCGATAATAAGCTTTAACATTTTGAATAATTCCTTGATCAAGAGGCTGGAAACGACTGGTACTGTTAGCTGGAAGCCAACAAATGCGGATATTAGGGGGAGGAGGGTTAAGCTCAGCCCCTGTATAGTGTGCTGAAAAGCCGTCCATTGTTAAGAGTATTTGCCGAGTAGTTCCAATATACTGATAAAAGGCTTGAAGCCATTCGCTCATAAGTATTCCAGTCATCCAAGCCTTCTTATTCGCTTTCCATTGTGCCCCCATTGTTGGTATATTGATTCGTTGTAGTGCTCGAGGTGCTTTTGCATGGCCAATTGCCCAAACAGGGAGTCGGTCTGTTCCAGTAGCATTGACGCAGAAAACCAAGGAGATCCGAGTCTTATTCTTCTTCACACCAGATTGGAGTTGCGATGACAGGCCTCGTGATGGCATCATCTTCCAGAAGAGTCCAGTTTCGTCCATATTGTATATATCCTCTTCTTGAAACTCCCCTGCTATTGTCCGTAGTGCCCTCATTTCTTCCTCGACGTTTTCCGGAACTGATGCCGCCTCTCCAAACCGCTGTCGTGATTGTATATGATGCCGCTTTTTGAATTTTTCGAGCCAGCCAGTAGAAAACGATGGGCACTCTTGGCCAGCATATTCTGGCAGTCGTTTCCAGATCTGCTGTGCCTTCTGCTGTAGTATATCGCCAGTTGTAAACCCTCCTTTTTCTTCAATCTGATTCTGCCACTCCCAAAGGATATTTGTAATGGTTGACGAGGGCTTCCGAAGAGTCATCGAGTGCCTCAGTGAGGGCAGCGGCTAGCGAGTCAGCTGGGACAGGTGCACCAGATGTGAGAATCTAGCCACCCAAGGAAGGGATGAATTTACTAAGACAACACACTGTCTTAGAAAACAGAGCCAAAGGGTCGTAGCTTAGACTATTCCACAACGCAGCAATCAGGTGTGTGATGTAGTGAAGTGGTTCAGACAAGTTGCAACAACTGTTGAGTCTGGGAACTCAGGGGTAAGTCAGAGGTTAACACCTCACTGACTTTTCAGAAACAAGGAGTAACAAGATCAATGCTTGGAAGCTTGGAAAAGACGTGGAAGTATGTGATAGTCGATTTACTGTATTGTCTGCTTGCCCTTTCTTAAGGAAAGGGCAATCCTATTTATGCTAAAGGAGTGTAGTTCTCTCATTTTCCAAGACTTTCCATGACTTACCAGGCTTGGTAACTGTAGTCGACATAAGAGAATCCCATAGAACCATCTCTTAGGTTCGTAGCCTATAGGAAGTAAAAGGAGGTCCAAGGTCAGAGTACCCCTATAGACAAATTATGTCATAGACAAATTATGTCATAACTTAACCAATCTTGTGGGTAACTAAAGAGCGATGACATGTAATGAATCATAGAGGTTCGTAGGAGCTTTTAGAGCTATCGTTCATGCTCCTAGGCCTCTAGTTGGTAGAGATATGTCATGTGGTAGTATGAGTGATGTCATGTAATGAATCATAGAGGGTTGTAGAGATATGCTATGTGGTAATATCGGCCCAGTAACTAAGGAGCGATGACGTGTAATGAATCATAGATGGTTGTAGCAATCGTTGAGTAGTATTGCTCTTGTTGTTGGTGTGATAAGCCAAAATATGTATAGTGACTTGTAGGTTTGAGGAGGAGATTTCCAAGTTTGCTAGTTTGATAGCAAACTGAGTGAAACGAATGTCAGTATGACAATATTCTCTAGCTTTGGCCACTGGCCTAGTCGACGGCGTTGAATTCCAGTGTCTTGGTTCTTATGAAGGGCCTCAAAGTTGCTACTTAGTGATTCAGAAATAGTCGACTGGCTTAACTTGTGATGATATTGTCTTTCAAACCATTCGATACACTGCCGCTGAGTTGGCTTTGGAACTTGTTGGTGGGCCCAGTGTCGAAGGGCACGCCGCTGGTCGACTGTAATCGGCCTTTTTCGAGGCATTTTGGGTGTCTAATGGCCACGTTAAGACGATGAACAGGTTGGAAAAGACGATGATCGTTGAATCGTATTTTGTATGGTTAAAAGTATCAGTCCGTGGAAAAATATCGCACAAAAGAGGTTATCGGCTAAAAGAGGATCGTCTTGGCGAGGTTTGACTGTACGTTTTATATACCATGGTGATTCTTACTAAGCAGGAAACCACTCAACGCGCTCGGCGCGTTGCCTTTCTCCCTCGCGTTGCCTCCCTCGCCGTCGCCCTCCTCGGTCCTGAGCTCGGCTCAGGCCCACGAGGATGGCTTCTCTTGGCGAGCTGACCGTTCCTATGAACGGTCAGCTCTACCTTGACCTAGATGCCTGGTCGAGAGCCCTTAACGACTGGGCCGAATGAGGCCGTCGAAAGGAGCGACAGCGAGGGGGCGACGGCGAGGGGGCAACGAGGGGCTACGGGGGGCGGGGGATTGGGGGGTTTTTACTGGTCGCAGGGGGTTTCATATTATGTAGGGTATATAAAACTTATCACGTCAAATGCAGGGTATATAAAACTTTTGCCCTTAATTATATTACTAATCTATACACTAACTATATATAGTAATTCAAAGCTGGCGACAGCTGAAACAGAAATCTGTCCAGCCGTAACCAGCTTTTGGCACTTAATTGCCAAAAGCGGACGATTCTTCGTCGTTCAGAACATGGGGTGGTAGGGGGGCGGCAGGGTTAAATCACCTGCGGCTTAGCACCTTCCTTTTCAGGCATTCTACAGTCATGACGCGTTAAGTCGGTACTCGATTCACGTTACGTCGATACGTTTTGCTGGCCTCAATCCCCCTGTCCACTACCAAAATACGTTCTATATCTCGATATTTACGCTATCTCGATGGTATTTACGGGACCCGAGCTATCGACTTAACGGATTATGACTGTAGTGGTCACAACGGACTTCCCTCTAGTCGTGGAACTTCCGGATGAAGCTAGCTCATACTATATTGTTGACGATGGCTAACTGCCGCAGTGGCGCACCACCCCGAGGCAAAGGCGCAGCTCAGCACTGACAAGCTTCCTGTTGTGGAATTTAAGGATTCTGACGAGTGGATACCCCGCAAAACAGCCCGGGACCCGTTCCTGCCAAGCAGCTTCGCGCACGTGATCATGCGTTGCAAATGTCCCTCCTGCCTTTATGCGATTAGGTTATCAGTTCTGGGCATGGTGGGTGCGGTGACGGAGCCGGTAAGTGCATCTCGTTCTGTCAGCTGTGAGTATGGATCGCCGGCTCTACGGCCTCGTTTTTGCTTCGGTGCCCATACGTGCATCTCTTTCGTCGTAATCGACGAAAGAGATGCACGTAATTACAATGAATGATCATCGCATCTACCGCCGGGTTTTGCTTAGGACGATGACCTTACATGGCCGTCAGGATGTGTTGGGGGGGCTATAGTTCCGTAGTATTACGGGCAATGGGTATATAAGGTTGAGAAGTCAGGCCATTGCCCGCCATCTCTCTACTCTGATATCCACGAGACGTTGCTTGACTTGTTCCGATTCTCAAGATATCCCGCCCTCATGAAGCTCTCTATCATTGCAGCTCTGGGTGCCGCCACCCTGGTCACCAGCAGGACCATCAAGACCGCCAACCATGTGGCAATGGAGCAGTTGATGGCCATGAAGGTGTCTACCCGCGAGAAGCTCCGCGACGACGGGTACTTCGCGGCTGGGAGATGGAAGTCCACCAAGAAGGTGCAGGCCTGTACCAATGGCAAGGCTGGGGAGTACAGCTGTAACGGCGTGGACCTACAGGCCTTTGCGAGCCACGAAGACTTGGGAAGCAAGACCAAGGAAGGCAATGATATCTGGGGTATGTCTTTTGACTAAGTTGGGTTACGGGTAGCTGACTGTGATACTTTCTAGGCTGGACGTCAGATGATGGCCGTGAGTTTGGTGCCGTTGGACAAACCGACGGAACCGCCTTTGTGGAGGTCACCAAGGATGGCCAGATCAAGTACCTGGGAAGACTCCCCACCCAGACAAAGAATAGCATTTGGCGTGACATGAAGGTCGTTGATGGATATGTCTACATTGGATCTGAAGCTCCAGGGCACGGCCTGCAAGTCTTCGACCTCCGTAAAGTATGTCAGCCTGGCAATAAGTTGATGATATAATATTCTAACGAAACTACTAGCTTCTGACGGTCACCGAGCCCAAGGTCTTCGATATCACAAAGGACCTCACGGCGTGGTTCAAGGGTTTCGGCAGCTCCCACAACATCGTTTCGCACGAGGAAGCCAACATGATCTACGCTGTCGGTACTGCACTCAACTCGTCATGCAAGGGCGGCCTATTCATGGTCGATGTCTCAGACCCTGCGAACCCCACTTCGCCCGGCTGCGCCAGCGAAGACGGATACGTGCATGATGGTGAGTCCTCTATTCCCCGAACCCCCACTCACAGCCTAGTCTAACTCCCCCAGCTCAATGCGTCATCTACAAGGGCCCAGACTCCCAGTACAATGGCAAGGAGATCTGCTTTAACTACAACGAAGACACTCTCACCATCGTCGACGTGACCGACAAGTCTACGCCCAGGCAGATCTCCAAAACCCCATACGTGGGCTCCTCCTACACCCACCAGGGCTGGATCATCGACCCGGAGAATATGGCGTACCTCCTCCTCGACGACGAGCTCGATGAGGTGAAAAAGACCGGTGAGGCCGCAAACGGCCACACCACGACGTACATCTTCGACGTCAGCACCCTCGCCAAGCCCGCCTACAAGGGACTTTACCAGTCGCCCGTCAAGTCTGTCGACCACAACCAGTACATTATCGATGGCCTGTCGTACCAGTCCAACTACGGCTCCGGACTGCGCATCGTCGATGTTAGCTCCGTTGCCCAGGACCCTACCGGCAAGGGGTTCAAGGAGGTTGGTTTCTTTGATTGCCACCCTGAGGATGATGCGGTTGGTGGTGAGGTCGAGTTCTTTGGCTCGTGGAGCGTGTACCCATACTTCAAGAGCGGATATATCCTGTTGAACAGCATTGAGAGGGGTCTGTACTCGCTGAAGCGCAGCGCGTAAATTAGGCTATGTAGGTTTGGGTTCTTGTTGGGGTTATGAGTAGGGGTGAGTTACGTTCGTTTACACATTGGAAAATGGCCCTGTCTATGAATATCTACGATATGTGATTAAATATACAGTTACTTCATGTATTTATTTCCAGCTGGACTACATTTATGGGGGCTTGATGCGTTTTCATGTGATCCAACAGTGAGGTTGTACTTCATGTTGGAGCCTCGAGTTGTTGGTTGGTTGTTGGTTGTGAGTAAGTTAATTGAAGGAGCAGCTCACCTTTATATCTGCCCGTATCAGGGAGTACCAGCCTTTATCATTCTGACTCCGGAGATATTTTGCCCCCTCAGATTACCTCCATCTGCAAAATAACACCGCAGTCAGCAATGTCCAAGCCCAGCGCATCCACCGCAAACCAGCCCGAGCCCTTCATCGTCCTCCCAACCTCCTCCCACACACACACCCTCATCCTCCTCACGGCTCCGGCAACAACGGCTCCAAATTCGGCACCGAGCTCCTCTCAACCGGCACCTCCTCCAAAGGACACACCTTCACCACCGTCTTCCCCGGCACAAAATTCATCTTCCCCAACGCCCGCAAGCGGCGCTCAAGCGCCTTCCCCAGTGATAAACCAGTGGTTCGACATCGCTTCTGTAGAGGACCCGTCGCATAGAAGGGATACACAGGTGCAAGGTCTGGTGGAGTCGGCGGAGCATGTACGGTCTATTATTGCAAGGAGCTGGAGACGATTCCAAGGGGGGATATTGTGCTGGGGGGGTTGAGTCAGTCTGAGTCTGGAGTTTTCGCTAGGTGGATACTTTGGGATGAGTGCGTGGATGTCATTTAGGGAGGATATTGAGGATGTCATCGTGCCGGTTGAGGAAGAAGATGACCCTTTCGCTGATGACGAGTCGGATGGAGAGGCGCTAGAGTCGCCGCTTTTGGCGGTCGGTTTGGTGAGAGATATCTTGTTAGTAGACGCTGCGACGCTGAGCACAGAGAGGACGAGCTTGATGACGCCGGTTCTCTTGTGCCATGGGGGAGACAATGAGAAGGTGAAGTGAAAGCTGGGGGAGGAGGCCGCTCAGTGCCTTGCGACGTAGTCTTCGGCCAGAAATTCCTCTATGACACAGATGCCTTTAACAAGTGTCCGGAGCTTCTCGACATCCCTCCTACGAAACAGAATCGGCAATTCGAAAAATATAAGCAGCAATATGAGTTCATGATCTTCATGGATAATATATTCCCTCGTTTAAGATTCTCAAAAAAGCCGAAACTAGCTGTGGATATTTAGGGGTAGCATGAAAGAAATTGGAACGCTGAGCAGTATCGCCGCTCGAATAATACAGAAGAGAAGTTACGTTGTTGCCACAAGATAAGCAGGAAGCGGCTCGAAGGGCCGAGAAAAGGTGCATAAAGGACTGGAAAACCAAGCATGACGATTGTCGGCTCTGTCGTACTAGGTCGACTACATAGGGACAAGGGGAATCTACAAATAGGGGTTTGGGAAGTTGGATTTATCATATTTTTTTTATATACCACTTGGATTCAAATTTAGTGTCAATGGCAGATTGAGCGTTGTCGAATTCATATATTTTAATACTATTTTATTATCAGCTTAGAATTCATTATCGTTCATCATCGTTAAAACTAGGGGTTGCCCCGTTCGAGCACTGTTAGTGTTGGAACATGGGATGTTCCTGATAGTACGCTGCACAGCGTAGATTGTATACTGGATGTATATAAGGGCTCCGCCCGCCCGTAGTTACTCAATCAAGTCGTCAAACTCCAATTATGTGTTCAACAGTTAGTAGGATGGGCCACTGCATGCGCCTTTGTAAATAAAAGGGTCTCAGCGGGTTCCAGAGGCACGAGTTACATTTACGATACTTCCCTTACGATAATTGCCAATAGCTCCTATATCTGTGGGTAGGCGCTCTATGGTGTGGGATCGGGGTTGGTAATTTTCCATACCTCTGAATTCTGTTAGCGCAGCTAGCAACATAACTAACAAAACCAACAGGGCGGCACGCCATTGATTTAGTCCTCCATGAGGCCGGCCGTACAATTTAACCCTGTGGAACAGAACGATTGTTATCGGTTTGTAGCGCTAGCTGGGCGGGCGGCTATATTGGCCCACGTTTAGCGTGGGGGCTGCCGCTCCAACGTATATGTCTATTCTCAGCCACACAAAACTGATATTTTTAGTAATGTACAGTTGGGTCAAATAAGTGTTCGTCGTTTTCAGCCACCAAAACGCCATGAAAAAAAGCAACGAGTGCGGGGTACTCCCTCTTCAAAAGGATAATATAGATAGAAATAGTGAGTTGTAGATACTGTCATCAATTATTATGGCTCTCCTACCGAAGAGTACTCGTAGAGAGACCTCTGTTGCAAAGCGAGCAACATGCTGGACTTGGTACAAGGCTGGCAAGACAGTGACTGAGATTTCCCGCCTAGAACGCCTACCCCGCACTACTGTAACTACAATTATCCACAGAGCAAAGGCTTCCGACCTACAAGCTCAGCAAGTCAAGTTTGAGAGCAAGGCACGCTCGGGGGCCCCTAGGAAGCTTACTATCCGAGCAGAGAGGGCCTTAGTGCGTGCTGCTGTTACAGATTGCAGAGCTCCACTAATTGCGCTCTGCACACCGAGCAAGAGCGGCTCTCAGATCACAAAACCAACAGTACGCAATGCTCTAAAAAAGTACAACAAAGGACGGAGAAAACCACGCAAGAAGCCGTTCCTTAAGCCTGCTCACAAGAAAGGCCGGCTACAGTGGTGTAAAGCAAACAGAAACGTGGATTTTGGACTTATTATATGGTCTGATGAGTCTACATTTGAAGTTGGCTATGATAGTCGCAACTTTTGGGTTACCCGAGGCCCAGGAGAAGAATTTTGGGAGAAACACCTAAAGCCTACTTTCAAATCAGGCCGTACTTCAATTTCTGTGTGGGGTTGCTTTATGGGAGCAGAGATTGGACCGTTGGTTGTGCTTCCTAAAGGGCAGCGGATGAACCAGCAACTATACACAGAACTAGTTCTCAAACCCTACTTTATCCCATTCTACGAGAAGATGGTTGCAAAGTACGGCCCACAAGTACGTATACAAGAAGATGGAGCAAAATTCCACTTTGCTCCTATTGCTGCAAACTACAAGAGGCTCTGTATGGTACAGAGTTTACCATGGCCGCCACAGAGCCCTGACCTTGCCCCTATTGAAAACGTGTGGCAGCAAGCAAAGCTACAAGTGTCTACTCGACGGCATAGGATCAAGAACATTGCAGAAATGGAGGTGGCGGTACTCTACGAGTGGTCACGTATACAGGCTAGTTTTCTCAAAACCTTAGCTGACTCAATGCCAAAAAGGATTGCATTATGCATTAAGGCAAAGGGTGGTAGTATTAAATATTAATCTATATTACTCTAGCTATAACGTACATGTATAGCGAAAGCGCCAAACAAGCGAAAGCGCCAAAATGATGCGGTGACCAAACCCCCCAACTAAATGTTAAATTCCTCAACAACAAAACATGCCCCATAAAAACGATGAAAGCCAATTAGTGCTAGCTATCCAGGCTATGCAAAGCGACCCAAAGTTACGCCTTCGAGTTGCTGCTAGGATCTATTCTGTGGACCACCGCAAGCTAGGTCGTCGTCTAGAAGGTGTACCTTCACGACGCGATATCCAAGCCAACTCACGGAAATTAACTAACCTAGAGGAGTCCGTCCTTGTTCAGTATATACTCGACCTAGCTGCCAAAGGGTTTCCTCCTCGGCTGTCTGTTGTTGAAGATATGGCAAGTCGACTACTTGCAACACGCGACGCGTCACGCGTTGGGTCGCGTTGGGCTTCAAACTTTGTTAAGCGGCGTGTAGAGCTCCAGACACGCTTTCAGCGCAAATACGACTACCAGAGGGCTAAGTGCGAAGATCCAGAAGTTATTAATGGCTGGTTTGAGCTTGTGCGTAACACAATTGCGAAATATGGTATCGATGAAGCAGATATCTACAACTTTGATGAGACTGGGTTTATGATGGGCGTTATCTCAACTGCTATGGTTGTAACAAGCTCAGACGGGCGGGCAAAAGCAAAGAAGGTACAGCCTGGTAATCGGGAATGGGTTACAGTAATCCAAGGCGTTAGTTCTCAAGGTTGGGCAGTACCACCATTTATCATTGTTGCAGGCAAAAACCACCTTACATCTTGGTATGAGAATAGTGGATTTTCAAGCGATTGGGTGATTTCTGTTACTGAAAATGGCTGGACTACAAACGAGAGAGGCATGGATTGGATTCAGCACTTTGAGAAGCATACAAAGGCCCGGAGTGTTGGTGGTTATCGCTTGTTAGTCCTTGATGGTCATGAGAGCCACCACTCAGATGAGTTTGAGGAGTACTGCAAGGAACACAACATTATTACGCTTTGTATGCCTGCTCACTCTTCTCATCTACTCCAGCCACTTGATGTTGGCTGTTTCGGCCCGTTAAAGCAGGCCTATGGTCGGCAAATTGAAGATATGATGCAGGCTCATATTTCTCATATTACAAAGGATGACTTCTTTCCTGCCTTCCACGCTGCATTTAACACTACAATGACGGAAAGTAACATTTGAGGCGGGTTCCGAGGGGCAGGGCTTCTTCCATTTGACCCTGAGAGAGTGATATCTACACTTGATCTTAAGTTAAGGACACCAACGCCTCCAAGCTCCCGCCCAGGTACTGCTCAACCTTGGGTTTCTCAGACACCAAACAACCCAATTGAAGCTATGTCACAGTCTACATTTATTAAAACTCGGATTTCACGCCATCAAAATAGCTCTCCAACCTCAATCTATGTAGCTGTTGACCAGTTTACAAAGGGTGCATCGCAAATAATGCATCAATTAGCACTGCTAAAGGGAGAGAACCAAAACCTACGACAGGCAAATGAAGTACTAAGCAAGCGCCGGAGAGCTAGGAAAACACGACTACAGCAAGGAGGATCACTTAGTCAACAAGGGGCGCAAGAGCTACAGGATGAGAGGGATGTTGTGCAGCAGGTAGAGCAGGAAATAAGGGCAAGCCGTGGTCGGAAGCCAAGGGAAGAAACCCGTGCCCGTCGCTGTGGCAAGTGTGGTGAGACTGGGCACAATGCGCGCACGTGTCAGATTGTAATAGACACCTCTGAGGAAGAGGACTCCGAGTAGTTTCAATTGATTTCTAATGTTGTGGTAGATTTATCGCAATGTTTGTCGTGAGGGTAGATAATTTTGGCGCTTTCGCTTGTTTGGCGCTTTCGCTATACATGTACGTTAGTACATTTCAATTTTTATTCAATTCCAAAGCGTTGTGGTTGAGTTATTTACGATTGATTTTATGGTTGTGGTTCTTCGGAGCGACGAACACTTATTTGACCCAACTGTACTAATAGTGTCATATCTAGGGCTACCTATTGCTAGAATAGCCGTTTCAGAACCGGTTTGGTAGGTTAGATGTTTGGCTATGGTTTTCTAATGACTTGTAATGTTAGTTGGTTAGTTTCGAGTCGAAAGTTTCAACCTGGCCGCAGTCTTTAAAAGACTGCGGCCGGGATTGGCTAAGGTGGCTTTGAGGCCGATATCGTCGTATTGGTAATAGGTGTGAGAGGAGGGGGGTTCGCAGGACTCTAAGTATTGAGAGAAGAGTTTTTGGTTGTTGTTTTTTAGGGACGAGTGGGAGGTCTTGTGGACTGGAGGGAGCATAGAAAGGCTCCATCAAGATTCTCAGCTCGTTAGGCGCGGGCTCTCCATGCACTGGGTGGACAGGTTCAATGCTGTTGATGGGCCTGCGAAACATAATGTTAGCCTTTAGCTTTCCTCATTGTCCAAATTAGCATTAGAGGGAGCAAGTCAAGACTTGATACTTGTCGCCAATGTAGGCGGAACTATCGAAGGGGGTATCATATATACGTACACCTGTAGCAGACATGCTGCTTCGTATCATCTTGAACCTCACAAGTTCATCAGCCCTCGTAGGAAGCACGTAGCTGTATCTCTTTAAACAATGCTTCCAGACTCTCTCTCGTGACGGATAACCTGGTAGGAGAGGACGTTCAAGACAGTATATGTAACTAAACGCGTCTTTGTATTTCTCATTATCAAGATGCGGGGGGGGTTTGATGGTGCGAGACTGCGTATCCGCTCATGTTTAACAGCACCTAAAAGTAGAAATAATTCGTAGAATAGAAGCGATGAGCTCGTAGAAAGACAACCAAACAAGAAGATCAATTGTCGAAAAGATTTTCAGGAGACACACGGCCGATGGGTGCGGCGCAGAGTTGCACCGCAGAGGTACAGCCTGTCGTTGAGGCCCAGGCCTCTCTGGCGTGTCTGTATAACAGGGACCTAATTGGGGGCTGGGAGATGCAGCATATTCGAACACATTTCTCTATCATCTTCAAAGTACTTCATCGCTCTCTTGCGGATCAAAAAATCCGTTTCCGATGTAAAGCAGCAAATGCATCAAGGCTACGAGCTGCCGAAACGCTTGAATGGTTTCCCTCGAGTAGCTGAGAAGCTCGCCTCGGACCCTGACAAGACGACCACGACACTTCGACCGGCTGTCGGCGAGGAGTCTGATACTACGCGAGGCGGAATTGGCAGAGCTAGAGGCGGAGCAGGATAGATTAGATCAGGAGGATAAGGACTCGACGTCAGGAGAGGTGCGCGACTGTCATACCGACTGGAGCACGTTCGAGAGACTGGCGACGGGGAGAGATCCAAACGGCGACCCGACGACCCCGGACAGGCTGCGAAATTAGAATTTGCATTAAAAACCAGAGCGAAAATAAAAGAGTACCGTAAGACGTTCGCTCATATTTAATCCGCCATTTGAATTTGAAACAGCAGACGCTATTGAACTCCAAGCCGCCGGCTGCGACGACTATAAAGGGCATGGGAGGATGGTCCTTGGATACGTATAAGGGGAAACAGTACGGTTCACCGAGCCTTGGGGGGCTAGTGAGAAGAGATTCGATGATCCGTATGATCCGTATGATCTCGTCGCGCTGCGCGTGCCGGCGGATCAAGACCGGCTCTCCGAGTTCATCTTGAACTATTTTGGCGGCTTCTTTCTAGTTCGTCCCTTTCCCATCTACAATCCCCTCTTTTACAAAAAGACGCATACTCACACCTACCTACCCCTCAGGCAACATCAACAGACGCCCGCTCCTCCTACATCCGCGAATCCACCCTCGCCAAAACCATCGCCATCATCTCCTCCATCCTCTTCGCCATCCTCCTCTTCGGCTCCATCGCCCCCCTCTACTTCGTGCACAACGGCCTCGCCCTCTTCGGCATGCTAGGTGGCTGGACCGTCCTCTTCGCCGTCTGCGTCGGCTGGCTGACGAACGCGCGACGCGATCAGATCTCTGCGGCGACGGCGGCGTATTGTGCGGTGCTGGTGGTGTTTGTTAGTGGGACGCTTGGGGGGGCGGGGTCAGGGGGGTGGAACTGTACGCGGGTTGGGTGTGTTGAATACGTTATGAGTGCTGTTATGAATCTTATTAATCTTCTGAATTACCTAGGAAGTTATTAGAGCCTTTCTACGTTCTAGTTACTCGGAAGTTAAGCCAACGGGAAAAGTTCTAACGTCCTAACTATAGGTATCAATTCCCAGCTTTACACAATCCATCTCCAGACTCTCAGGCGGCAGGTTTAATTAAGTATTAGATATCACCTACGAGTGTTATAAACATTCGTTCCTTCCTTCTGAAACCCTCTCATCCCCTCTTTCCTCACCCCTTCATCATACAAACCCATCCCACAGCGTCAACCACGATAATATATAGGACACGGTGATAGGGGGCTGTGCAAGACATCCAGGGGACGGAGTGTAACCCATCTCGGAAGATGAGAGGGGAGAGGAGGCGACAAGTACACAATGACGACGTTCGATGCGCTGTTCACAACATGACAACACCTTACCTTCACCGGTGAGCTCAGCGTCTGGAAAATAATCGCCCTCCCCCAAACCAAGCGTCGCGCGCGCCTGTCCATGCATGTAGTAAGCAGCGAAGGAAGGCGCTTGCTTACCTCAACTCACCTCACCGGCGGCTCCTGGGTCGTCGACAGGGTCGCGTTGAAACAGATATGAAGCAGTCACGTGAGACCCGTAATCGGAATGTGGTGGTACGCAAGTGGACTCCACTCGAATTAGAGTTTTTGTCTAGAGAAGAAACAAGATGGTGCTGAAAGCGAGCAGTGGCGGCAAGGTTTCTATTCTTTTGTCCTTGAAGGAAAGGGAGGAACACGAGCAGTGGGTGGAGGTATTTGGGAGGTACGGAGTAGAATACGGTTGATTGTGCACTAGGTCGTTCTGGAAAGAGACTTATGCAGTAATCTATCTTACATTTGTCTCGGGGGGTGGCTGGGAGCAGATCTCAGTTGACGGGAAGTTTGGAAAGTGGAAAAGGAGGGGGTGATTGGCGTATCAGGCCGCTACATGGGCTAGGTATTAGAGTAGCATATAGTGTGGATAGGCTGTGAACGGCGCCTAGTACATTTACCCCTGGGCCCTGAAACAGTTAGATTTACCTAGCTCTAACTACACTAACTACACTACACTAACTACACTAACTACACTAACTACACTAACTACACTAACTACACTAACTACACTAACTACACTAACTACACTAACTACACTAACTACACTAACTACACTAACTACACTAACTACACTAACACTAACTACACTAACTACACTAACACTAACTACACTAAACACTAACTACACTAACTACACTAACACTAACTACACTAAACACTAACTACACTAACTACACTAACTACACTAACTGCACTAACTACACTAACTACACTAACTACACTAACTACACTAACTACACTAACTACACTAACTACACTAACTAAAAATACACTAGAAACATTAGAAACAGCAACCCCGCCCATCATCTCCCCCATCCCCTCCCAACCACTGGCTCTCCTTCTTCCTCTCTCATACACGAACTTTAACCACACATCACCAATAAACCAACTCTACTCTCTTACACCCCCAGAATACTCTGGACGACGATCGTTGATTCTATATATTACTATCCTGGTACTATAACCGCCGCTCGTTAATTGTTGATCGTTAATTTCCTTTATCTACCCCAGCCGTCGCCACTGACAACCTGCCCACCCTGCACCGCATCGAGAGACCACAACAATTTAGATTAGATTAATTGCGGTAGGACATCCCCCTCGAAACTGACATACAATACCCTCAAATACCCCATTGTCGTCGCTGGTCGGGGACATCACACATTCGCTCAACTACTACTACCGAATAATACACCTTACAACCGAATCAATTGACTTCGAAACGAGAGAACACGACACTCCAAACCACACCCCTTTCTTATCGCCGAAATTTGGCAACACGCATACCTTCCCAGCAAACTCACGCAATACTCCTCACAACACCGCAGCCATGAATATCAACAAGCGCCTCGATCGCGTGAAGCAATGGGCCGGCGAGAAGATCGGCGCCGAGTCCAAGACGAGCGTGTCTGATGAATTCCGCAGTCTCGAGACCGAGATGCAGCTGCGCCATGACGGTTCGTCCTGCCCCTATCACCAGGAGTAAGGTCTCCTCGCTAACACAACACGCAGGCATGGACAAGATGCACAAATCGACCACCGCATACATCAAGTCGCTATCGAAGCGCGACGAAGGCGACGACAGGGAGAAGGTCCTCCCGGTTGCGCGATTGGGACAGACCCTCGCGAACCACGGAGATGATTTCGAGCCCGATTCCGAGTTTGGGAATTGCCTCATCGGTTGGTCTACCCGAGATACCTGTAGAGAATGCATACTAACGTCCTCTAGCAATGGGACGCACAAACGAACGCATCGCCCGCGTTCAGGAAACCTACACCGCATACGCCACAACCGGCTGGCTCGAATCCCTCGAGCGCTCCCTCGTGCAGATGAAGGAATACCAAGCCGCGCGCAAGAAGCTCGAGGGCCGCCGCCTCGCCTACGACGCCTCGCTGTCCAAGATGCAGAAGTCGAAGAAGGAGGACTTCCGCAGCGAGGAGGAGCTGCGCTCGCAGAAGGCGAAGTATGAGGAGTCCAGCGAGGACGTGTTCCGTCGTATGCAGGATATCAAGGAGGCGGAGGAGGATAGCGTGGCTGATCTGGGCGCGTTTCTCGATGCGGAGCTCAAGTACTACGATCGTTGCCGCGACGAGCTGATGCGTCTCAAGCGCGAGTGGCCTGCTGCGTAAGTCAAGTCCACATCCCCAAGTCCAAAACCCCTTCTAACAAACACCCCAGCCAAAAATGTGCCCAGTCAACCACCCGCGCCAACCGCTCCCGCTCAAACACCGCACACTCCTACAAAGAGCGCTATGCTTCCCACGAAGACCCAATCCCCGAACTCGAGCGCCCCGCCATCCGCTCCTCCAGCCGCGTCCCCTCAGTCACCTACCTCTACCCAACGACCTCGCACGAAGCCCCCCCTCCCCTCCCATCCAACCGCCCCCATCTGGCGCGTTCGCACACCATCGAGTCCCCGAGACGCGACATCACGCCTCCCGGCCGACAAGCCTCGTTTGCGAGCGACGCTGGGGTAGCGAGGGATAGGCTTAGGCCGACGAGTCGCATTCGCACGGCGGATTTGTTTGGAGATCCGAGTGATGACTCGGCGGCATATAGTGGGACGGATCGCTCGCCGAGGGCGGGGAGTGTGAGTCCTGGTACGTCGGCGGGGAGTGGGGGGGATGTGTCGAGGAAGGGGAGCTGGACGAATTTGAGGGGGGGTGTCAATGGGGGAGGGGTGAATGGGAATGGGGGGCAGGGGGTGGTGAAGAAGGGACCGCCGCCGCCGCCGCCGTCGAGGGGGAGGAAGATTGCGCCGCCGCCGCCGCCGCCAATGAAGAGGGAGAATTAGAGGCCGTGGGTCCGAGTAATCTGGGGTTGGGGGTTTACTACTTGTTTGTTGTCAAGAGGCTACGCTTGTTCTGCGGCCTTGTGGGGGGTTTTTTTTTGTCTATTTTTGTAATTTTTGGCGGGATTTGGGCTGGACCATACTGTACCTCAACGCGAGGATGGGTGGCTTTTTCTTTTAATGGGTGCGGGTTGTTGGTGGGATTTGTACTGTACAATAGCCTATGGGCTCCTGAGAATGCGGCGAGTGAGTTCGCATGGGATGTGAGAAGGGAGTGAAGAGACCTTTTGAGGGGGTGGATGCGTCAGAGATAGGGACCTACTATGATAGTAACTTCTATTACATGAACCTGTTCAGAATATGCATACATGCGCGGCAAACTCAAGGTTTCCGCTGTGATTTAAAATCCTAAACATTAATAACCTTCTTGTGTGGAAGTGAGTATACGATTTCAAGGAGGGAATCGGCAAGGAGAGGCAATGGAGGGGTCGGACTACAGTCCTCCGACTGCAAAAGCGGGACCTCAGCACTTTCCGTCCACATTTTGAGTTTTCTCCTATAAATACGCCGATGGATTATCCAGACTCTAGACCGGGCGGCGGCGAGGAGTCATTCTTACGGACGTACTATGGATGCCTTGGTATAGGGGGAGGGGGAGAGCTTGGGTAATCAGATCTGATCACCGCGATTAGTTGAGCATTAGCTTCATGGCTGAGGGTAGAATAAGGATACGCTTTCGTCGCTCTGTGCCGCTTGTGTGCAGTGTGAAAGTGGTACTCGGTGTTCCACCCACTCGCTTCGCTCGTAGGTGGCGACAGCAAGTTGTGCGTGCGACAGCAAGATGTGCGTACACCGCTATTTTGATATATAGAAAAAATAATAGTATTCTTCATAACGTAGTATCTACAATGCCTCAAAATAACGATCCTACTATGATTGCTCGCCTTAATGAGGCCCAACAGTTCTTCTTAAAACAACCAAGTACATATACAATTGCTTGGGTTGCAAATAAATTCAATGTCAACCGTGAGACACTCCGACGTCGTATTACGAGTACTACGTCTCCTCAATTACCCCACGGAGGTAGCAATCGAGTCTTATCTCAATCGCAAGAGACCGCGGTCTGTCAATTCATATACGACCAACTTGAGCGCGGGGTCCCTGCCAACCGATCTATGATACTACGGGCAGTTGCAGACTTACGACCTAATCGTACGATACCATCACAACGGTGGCTACAACGCTTTCTAAAAGCACACCCCGAATTTCATACAATTCACACGAAGACGTTAAATACACATCGGAAGCAAGCACAAAAGAAAGAGGTGTTTGAGGAATTCTTTCTCACATATAACGCCCTTATTACAAAACATAACATTAAGCCATATAATTTATGGAATGTTGATGAGACAGGCTATATGATTGGGTGTTATAAGTCTACGGCTGTTATTGTACCAATCGGTGTAAAGCAGTGGACTGTTGATAATCCTGAGAATCGGCTCTCTGTTACTGTAATTGAGGCAGTAAATGCAAGTGGTGCTGCACTTGCAGAAGCTATCATTATCCCTGGCAAACTTCATATGGATTCATGGTACAATGATGACCTTGAGCCAAATGCTCTCATTATTGTAAATGAGAGCGGGTATTCAAACGACGACATTGCAATCCAATACCTTATGCATTTTATCCAACTATCTGCAGAGCATATGGCACCAGATGATACTCGCCTCTTATTACTTGACGGCCATGACTCTCATAAAACAGAGCGCTTTCTTACATTAGCAGAAGAGCATAACATTGTTATTTGCTGCCTTCCTGGTCATACAACACATCTATTACAACCTCTTGATGTAGCGGTTTTTAAGCAGTGCAAACACTTTCATCAAAAGGCACTTGATCAAGCAGTACGTAGCTACGACTATGAGTATAAGCTACGTACGTTCCTTTCAGACCTCCCGCAAATCCGACGGCAATCTCTAACTGTCCGTACAATTCAATCTGGTTGGAGAAATACAGGACTATATCCATATAATCCTCCACTTGTAATTGACAAGATACAAGAGACTCGGAATCAAACACCTGATTATGAGCCATTTGCTTCATATAATATTATCTCAACACCGAAAACAACTATGCAAAGTGTGCAAGCGGTTGAACATTGGCAGAAGAGAGCAGAGGAAGCTTTCTCATCGCCTTCAAGAGAAGGGTTTCAATCATTTGCACGTGGAACTACAGTTGTTCTACACCGGGCAGAGCTCTATAAGACCGAGCTAGATATTATGACTCTACGTGCAGTAGAGCAGAAGGCAGCAAAGGCAAGGGCACGGAAATCACTACAGAAAGGAGGGCAGTTATATGCATCAGATGCACGGAAAATGCGGGAAGAGAAGAAAGCAAAGTTGCAAGCAAAAGCAGACGCAAGAGCAGCAAGGGAATCGGACCAAGTAGTAAAGCAGCTACAAGCGCAAGCACGTAAAATCGAAATTGAAGAGCGTAAGGTTGAGAGGAAGCGGGTAGCAGAGCGGAAGAAGGAAGGGTTGAAATCAAAAGTGATCATTTTACGGTATAGTAAGGATCAAAGTGATAGTAGCAATAGTGGCAGTAGCGATAGTGATAGTAGTTCTATTGATTTTATGTTTTAATTATATAGTTATATAGTTGATATATAAGGCGTCTTTTTCTTCGTTTTATGTGTCGCACATCTTGCTGTCGCACGCACAACTTGCTGTCGCCACCTACGAGCGAAGCGAGTGGGTGGAACACCGAGTAGGTATTACAAAAAAAGAAAGGGAGCAAGGGCTTGGAACGCCGATGCGACGTCACTTCCCTTTTCCGTTACCCCTCCAACGAACTACCCCTCGTTATCAGGCAGGCCCTCCTCCGACTCCACTTCCCGATTCAAACAAACATGAGGGGCGGATTTTCTGCTCTGGCTTTGGAACACCCATTGATGCATTTGAGCTGCGATATCCACTAACTTATACTTATCCTTATTAGAGGGCTTTGAGGCGAGAGGTTTTGTTGGTATATAACTGTGTTGCTTCTTCACCTGAGTTGAGTTGGGAAGAACCAATTGTCAAGGTACCGCATAACCTCCTGTCGAGAAAGAGAAAGAGAAAGAGAAAGAATAACAAACACATCACACATCACAATGGCTTCCCAAGGCAAAATCCAAAACGTCGGCGTCATTGGCTATGGGTGCGCGTTCCCCCTCCACATCCCCTCCATCTCTCTCTCCCCATGCTAACACCCCCCCCCCCCAAAAAGCATGTCCGCGAAAGTCTTCCACATCCCCCTCATCCAAACCACCCCCTCCTTCCGCCTCGCCGCCATCGTCCAACGCAAGCCCGTCTCCGGCAACTCCGCCCCCGCCGACCACCCGTCCGTAAAACACCACGCCACCACCGACACCCTCCTCTCCGACCCAAGCATCGACATCATCATCGTCACCACCCCCCCCGACTCGCACTTCGCCCTCTGCACTGCCGCGCTCAAGGCCGGGAAACACGTTTTCGTCGAGAAGCCCTTCGTGCCCACCTCCGCCGAAGCCACTGCGCTCATCGAGACCGCTCGCACGGCCCGGAAGCTGATCTGCGTGTACCAGAACCGCCGGTGGGACAGTGACTTCCTCACCTTCAGGAAGCTGCAGAAGGATGGCACGTTGGGGCGGATTGTCGAGTTCGAGACGCACTTTGATCGCTTCAAGGCTGTTAAGCCGGAGACGTGGAAGGGGCAGCTGGAGATGAATAATGGCGGGGGTGTGATCTACGATCTCGGTACGCATTTGCTGGACCAGGCGTATGTGGCGTTCGGGCTGCCGGTCGATGTTACGGGGATCTTTTCGAATCAGCGCGGCGAGGGCGAGGGGGCCGAGCCGGACGCGTTTACGGTGTTGTTGAGGTACAAGGATGGCCTGCTCGTGACGGCCAAGGCGGGGATCATGTCCATAGACACCGCGCAGCTTCGCTACTGGGTTCGCGGCACGGAGGGGACGTATAAGAAGCACCACCTCGATTGCCAAGAGGACCAGCTCAAGGCGGGGTTGAAGCCCGGGGATAAGGGATTTGCGGTTGAGGATGCGGCGGCGTCGGGGACGCTGGTGAGGATGGTGGAGGGGAAGCCGGTGGCGGAGGTGTTTGCGAATATTGACCCGGAGACGTATGGTGCGCTGTATAGGGGGTTTGCGGAGGCGGTGGAGAAGGGGGATGCGGGGCGCGTGCCGGTGAAGGCGGAGGAGTCGAGGGATGTATTGAGGATTATTGAGGCGGCGAGGGAGAGTGCAAAGACGGGGAGGGCGGTTAAGTTGTAGAGTGTTTCTATCTAGGGAGGAAGTCAGTTGAGTGATATATATTTTCAGATCTGCAATTTATACACTTTCAAAAAGCCGCGGGAGAGCCATCGATCAACAAGCACCAGGAAATGTCACTTGCAAACAGCATTCTAAAAATTCATCACATTACTATCCTCATCCCCACCCCTTCAAAGTCATCGCAAAGTCATCGCTACCTACCCATCCCCTCTCACCCCGCCGGCACATGCGTCCTACCACCCACCAGCGCCCGGCCCCCCTTAGGCGATTTAGCCACCCTTCTCCTTATGGCGCGAGGAGTGGTTTCCCACAAACTCCTGACACCACGAGTTGCACACCGACATTACGCGCGTGACAGGCTCGATCGGTGCCTCGACGGGGACAGGGGCGTTCATGAAGTTGGCGCTAAAGCCCTGCGTCTCAGCTTCGAGGGCGTAGCGGCCGCCTTTCTCCTTGTGGCGGGATGAGTGGTTGCCGACGAATTCTTGGCACCATGAGTTGCATGCGGACATGACGGGGGTGTCGATGTCGACTGAGGCTGCGAGCTCGGTGGGAGCTGCGGCTGCGAGTTCGGTGAGAGCTGCGAGTTCGGTGGGAGAGGGGAGCTCGACGGGTGGGTTTGGGTCCTTGAAGCTCGCGCCTTGGGTCTCCCGCCCGAGGGCGTAGCGGCCACCCTTTTCCTTGTGGCGAGACGAGTGGTTACCCACGAACTCTTGGCACCACGAGTTGCAAGCTGACATGGTGCACGTGGTTGCTATGGTGTTGTTAGTTTTGCAGTTCACTGAGAGAAGGGAAAGGGGGGTAGGGGGTTAGGGGCTGACGTACCATCTCCCGGCTCAATGGTCTTCCCCATGAACACCCACGAGGCCTCGACGCTCTTGCCCCCATCGGTGGGTTCATCCTTGTGGAGAGTGATGTTAGCGCGTCCCGCAGTGAATTCCACGCCCTTCATCTCGCCGTCTCCAGGCTGGCGAACGAAGATGCCGAGGACATCGATGAGTCCCGCCTCATCAAGGGCGGTGCGAAGCTCCGCCATGAAGGCTGCATACTGGGGAGAAGACAGATCGACCTCATTAGCATCATTTCCCTGTGTCCACTCGCAGACCGCGACACCAGAGTCGACGAAGCGGTAGACAAGGGGCTTGATAGCGGAACCGACGATGATGTCAAGCTCGATGGGGACTGCGACGGCGCCGATGCTGACGAGGCGCTCGTCGTCTCCGATGGCGAAGTGGGTGTGTAGCATTTGGATGCCGAGGTTCTCGTGGACCTTATGGCGCAGGAAGAGCGAGGCGAGGGTGGTGTCGATAGTCTTTGAGGCATCCTTGGCCTTGAAAGTTTCTTTGGCGGTGAAGAACTCGGGGAGGGTGTTGTAGTGGGTTGAGGAGTAGGGGAAGATGGTGGAGGAGGCCATTCTGTTTGGCGGTTTGGAGGGTTGTTTTGGGGGTTTCAAGAAGAAGTGGGATTGGGGGGGGAGTTGGTGCTGGGTTTGCGTGGAGGAAGATGTTGAAAGAAGAGTAGAGTGTAGTGTGTCGATGGTGGAAGAAGGAGAGGGGAGGAAGGAAAAGTTGGCTATTTTATAGACGTCGCTCCTCCTGCGTGTGGAATCAGGGCAGAATCGGAAGCTATTGAACGCGAGAATCAGTAGAATCAGTTCGCCTACGAGATATACCGAATCTCTCTAGCAATCACCACTTGGTGAATTCCATGGAGTTAATGCCACCGGTTTACATAGGCGTAGTATTCAAGATGTGCGACTGAATCCAGTCCAGGGTGAGATCTATCCCAAGTTCTCATTGTTTATGCTCCTATAGGAGCGCCGTAGTCACATAGACGGAAGCAACAAAGAAAAATAGAGGCCATCCTTCATATTGGTCTATCAAACGTTTGATTATCTGTTCCGCAAATTAATTCTATGCTGACGTTGGATTGGAGTTGGATCTACTATAATTGTAACGGATAAACTTCTTCAAATGCGGTTAGTATGCAGCGTCTCCATTGCTGAGTATATGCCAACGTCTTTAAGTCCACAATAAAGTTCCAAAGTTATGGACAAGTCAGTCTATGGCAAGTATCTGTCAAAAATAAGGGGTAGTTTCTTTGTTAAACAGACACCTTGGAAAGTTTAAGTGGTATTGGTTGGTAGCTCTCACAAGAAGTGTTCGATCACTTGAGACTCAATTTTATAACTATAAACAAAACATAACTAACTTATGTAAAATATACTAATAACACTCAAGCTCCCACCAGCTACACAGGCTAACTAACCACCGTCAGCTTTATAAGTACATACAGTACAACCAGGATATCGTGTACAAAGTCCAAGGAGCGCTTCCAAAATAAACCAAAAATCATCGACTATCATTATTGCTCCATGCCCATTTTTAAAACAAGTAACCCTCCATACACTCTTTTTACAGCTCATCCTTCACGTTCGTCTCGCTGGACGAAACTGCACTGCTGACGCTGCTCGCGAAATCCTCAGCGCGCTCGGTAGCCGATGCCGCAGCTGCGGATGCGGCAGTGATGACGGATTCAAGACGCTCGCTTGCCGCCGCGAGAGAGTCGGAATAGGCGGCCTGGACGGAGGAGAACATCTTCTCGTGGATGGGCTTCGGCGTTCTCTTAATCATTCCCGAGACAACAGCGGATGCGCGGGTGAGGCGCTGCTCCGCCTGGCTCGTCAGGGCGTCGTATGCGGCGCTAGCCTGGGCGATGGCAGATTCAATTGGCGTTGGGGTGCCCTTAACGGCAGAACTGGCACTGTATATTGTTAGTAACAATCGGACATCGAACTTGGGGCTGACTTACGCCGAGGAGGCTTCGTCATATTTCTCGCTGGCCATGTTTTCGGCAGAACCCTTCTCCTTTCCGTGCACGGCGGCACACGCTGCGGCCAGAACGCTCGAGTACTGCTCAGTAGCTACGCTAGTTGCACTTTCGACGTTTCCCTTGGTGGACTGTTGCAACAATGCCTCGCTCATGGTCTTTGTAACATCCGCGAGGCGCTCTCCAGCCTCACCAGCCATGCTTTGGATTTTCTCAGAGTAGGTATCCTGCTCATCAGATACACTCGAAGCGTTCGGGACCGCGCTCTTGACAACACTGGTTGCTGATGAGACAACGGATGATAAGGTGTCAAGAACTTCCTCGGCAGATGAAGATACGGTCTCGAGAACCTCCTCCGCGGACGCAGATGCCTTCTCCAGAAGACTGCTCGCGCTCTCGCCGACAATAGAGGTCGCCTTCTCTACGGATCCTTGCGAAGTCGCAATGACTGCGCTCGACGCCTGGTCCAGAATACTGCTCGCACTCTCGCTGACAACGGAGCTCACGCTCTCCACGGTTCCTTGCGAGGTTCCGACGACTGCGCTCGATGCCTTGTCAGCCAGGCTACTAGCAGATGCCTGAGCGACTGATACAACGCTTTCAACGGAAGCCTGAGCTGCCGACACAAAGCTCTCGGCGGATCCCTGCGACGAACCAGCAACACTATCGGAAACTGAGGATGCGGCGCTGGTGACACTTTCACTCACTTCCGAGGCATATGACTTGACATTCTCAGCCACAGACGATGCGCTCGCAGCTATCGAAGATCCCGCGTCCGCAAGAGTGGAGCTGGCGGCCTCAAGGGGTGAATCTGATGAGGTTTCGGCAGAGCCGACAATAACTTCGCCTGCCTCATGGACCTTCTCGACGACTTTTTGCGCGGCTGCCGCTGCCGCTGGGGGTAAAACATGGGTGCTGAAATCATCCGACGCATCGCCCATAGCTAGCTTCCACCTGCCGGTTTCCTTTAGTCGTGAAAGTTCCGTGGCAGAATCTTCAGCAATGGCCATAGCCCTGCTTTCGATGTCTTCCGATGCAGCTCGAGCAGCCTCCAGGCCTGGGTGGGCAGTGACTACTTCCTCCACATCATGTCGCCACTCGTCAAACTTGTTCTTCAGAGCGTGATACTTGGCCCAGTCTTTGTGCGTGACGCCATCAGTCCAAGCCCAGCGCATACCTATCTCTTGAAGTCCGAGGTCGCGAATATGATCGATGATTTGGAAGGTATCTACAGACGCCTTGGATACGAGGTTATTGGTTTCCTGGTCGAAAGAATGACGCCACTCTCGGACTGCTTGGGCCTTGTCGCGAATTGCCAGCCCAGCCTTGCGGATGGCACCGTTAAGGTGTTCTTCTTCGCCATGCAATCTGACAATCGCCACGATAGCCATCTTTAAGGACTGTATTTGCGACTTGACGGTTTCTTCGAGTTGCACCAAGTGAGCCTCTCCCATTCCCTGGGCTTGGGTATTTACCGCTCGGTCGATAATTTCTGTGATTCTTGCCTCTAGCTCATCTGATCCTTGATCTGCTGCCTTTGCAAATTTTTCTTGCCACGTCTTTAGGTCCTCCTCGACTACCTTTTGGGCATTGGCTCGCTGCTCCTCCTCCGTAAGAAGAGTAGGAGACGCTTCCTCCTGCGTTGTAGCAGAAGTAGAAGTCTCGGATGACACGCTAGAGACGACTACCGACTCAGTAGTAAATGGTTCGGTGGAGGCGGTGGTTGAAGCAGAGGAAGTAGTGGTATCTACCTCGTCAACGATAGATTGCAGCTTTTTTCCATCGCGATACCTGCCGAGACGCTCGCCAATTCGGATAAGTTGTGGCTCAACGTTCTCACCGTACAAAATTCTGGCCTTTGGCCAGATGGTGCGGTCGAGGAAAGCCATCCCGCATGCCCAGGCCCACTGCGCATAAGGAATACCTGTATTAACAGTGAAGGCTTTGCCGATTTCGTATGCCTGTTGGCCGTATGGCTCAATGGCCGCATAGGCAGGTAAGATGGAAGCGTAGTACGTCTGTAATGCATTCTCCTTCGCGAACTTTGCATACGGAACAGTAGCAGCAGCCGCCTTCTGAACATGCGGTGCTAAGGTCTTATCATATTGCTCTTGGGCGAGCTTGTTAAGCTTGATGACTTGCGGTTGGATTTGCTTCTCCCATTGCTCCTTTCCAATCGCCTGCGCTTGAGCCACGCGGGGTGCACCGTATTTCTTTCCATAGAAGACAGTTGGCGTAAACACATTCTTGTCCAGAACATTATAATATGGCCTTGCGGTGTCGACGTATGGCGCCGCATACGTGTTATAGTAGGGCGTAGCGTACGGGGCGAGAGTCGATTTGACTTGGAAGTATGGCTTGCAAATACGAGGAGACGCGTCGGTAATGAGATCGACTGATTCCGGGCATTGGAATATCACTGTGATGATGGAATACCAGGTGAGAAGCCTTGTCCTGTTAGTCGAGCTGAGGCCGAGGCTGGGCAATACTTGCCATGTGCTAGTGCTGAAGAGCCACATGAAGAAACTTTTCCGTGGCTTTGCCCTTCGCGCCCGTGGAGTCGCAGAGTGTCCATTAACCCCTTTGAAGTTCTCCAGGGCCTTTCCCTTGGTTTCCCCTGCCATCTCGACCAGCAGACTTCCCTCTATTCGTGAAAGTTTAGCAGGCCACGGTCTGAAGTTGATAGTCGAAGATGGAACGTAGTTGAATATGTGTGTTTATGAGCGCTGGCTGGCAGCAGCAACAAATGGCATTGAAGAAGATGGTCCAGAAGCGTGTCAAAGGATGCGCTGAGACTTAATAGAGTCGACAGGCTAAGTTCCTGTTCTTCGAAATCAGACGGAAGGTTGGGAACTGACGCTAGTACTAAAAGGGGAGCTGAAGCAAGTTAGGATGCTGGACGTCATATAGACGACGGCGGCCCGACAACCTTCCGTCTCAGACAGCCAGCCACCAATTCAAATGGCACAAGACCATCAGCATTTATAAAATATAAATATTTATAAGGTCTGAAATCGACAAAACCACTATATCAATAATTACTGCGATTATGTCTTTACCTCAGCCTGAAGATGAGAGGTTTATAGCAAGACAAGTGAAACTGTATAACTTCTGGAATCTGAAACCCAGATGAGACTGAGTATCCTCTCTACGAATCTGTTGATTGCAACGCACATTATCCGGCAAATAAAATACGTGTCTTTTGGCTCATTGTAGTTTCTGCTAATAAGTTTAGAGTGAAAAGTAATCCATATATTTTGCTCAAACGATCAACTTCCCCCTTGGAACGTTTCGTCATTGACCCATACCACGTGACCATGCACCGGATTTACTTAATCCCATCTCACATCTCGGCCCATATGGTTCGTAATTGTGTCCCTCCATTCCAATCACTCACAACGATCGCCTTTTATAAAGATAAAGAGTCGTCAAAAAACAAAGCTAGAGCCTGACCGACGCATCCCTGTCGCGCCACTTGCACCTTCAAATGCCACGATAGCATTCACTGAAGGGCTCTGCCTGAAACCTCGACATTTTGACAGCACCCTCCCCTATCTAGAAGATGGATACGAATATGAACGTCGGAACGGCCAAAGGCGATGAAACCCGCAACCCAGACGTCATGAACGACCCCGAGTATGCCACGAATGTAGATGGGGATGACGGTACCGGAGATCAAGACACATGCAGGATATGCAGAGGGGAAGCAACAGCGCAAGAGCCTCTATTCTATCCTTGCAAATGCAGCGGCAGCATAAAGTTCGTCCACCAAGATTGTCTTATGGAATGGTTGGGACATTCGCAAAAGAAGCACTGTGAGCTGTGCAAGACACCATTCCGATTTACGAAGCTATACGCCCCGAATATGCCACGAACGTTGCCTCTACCTGTCTTTATAAAACATCTCGCAGTTCATATCCTGAAGAATATCGCAACATGGTTGAGAATGTGCCTCGTCACGGTCGTCTGGCTCGTTGGCCTCCCTTGGATGATGAGACATATATGGGGCATTTTGTTCTGGTTTGCGGACGGAGGATGGTCTTTCAAGCACTATCAATTCAGCCGTAATATCCCCGAACAACTGCGAAACTCGTCGGAAGCACTTGCGGTGAATGAGAAGCTAGCAAGCCTGGCTGCGAACGGAACATCACCAGCCAATCCTCTCCTGGCATATCCGACAACGACGCCAATAATGTGGGAGGCCTTGACAAAACTCTACGAGCTCGTGGTGTCCCACAGGTACAACATGAGTTTGCCTGAACCGTCCATTACGGGAATTTTTAACTCCATTTATAGCACTATGGGTCTTCGCGAGTATGGCCTACCGAGTAATATTTCCAACAGAACAACAGGTGCCATGCTACTGGAGCCATACCCTGTTTTCAACCAAACGATCGTTATCAAACATCCTTCTCTCCTGAGCGACGTCTACTTCCTCAATAACCTTACGCGTAACAATTGGATCAACAGGGTCGTAGTGACGTGCTTAGAGGGACAAATAATAACGGTAGTTGTCGTTGTATGCTTCATCCTCATATTCCTAATTAGGGAATGGGTTGTACAACAGCAGCCTGGTATCAATATAGGAGCAGGATTCAATGCTGAATTTGCCAATCCCGACGCTCGGGAGCAACTTCCACAGGACCCCATAGAAAATTTGCGCCATGCCGACCGTGGAGACGTTGCTGCGATCGATCGAATAATCCACGACTTTGAGGCAATACAGGACGTCATAGATCGAAGAGCTGAAGACAGGGGTGAACCAGTTCCTGCTCGGGCCCGAAGAAGAATGGGTGGGTTTGACGAGAATAATGCCAACCGCGAAGATTCCTTGGCAGCAGCACGCAACCTCGAACGGCACGAAGCCCGAGCTTCAGACGACGAAGGAGACGAGGCCGATGAAGCACTTTTAGCTGAACTCCCTACCTCAATTGACCAGATTGATGCCACAGAGTTCATTGCTCTGTGGCGTCGTGCCGATGGCGATGCCGACCAAATCCTTAGACTTATGGAGGAGGAGGGACTGGGTGAGCGCTTAAAGTACTGGAAAAACGCGTTGGAAGCGTTGCGGCAAGGAGATGCGGAATCTGGGGTTGTTGGGAGCCGTCAGATTGGGAGAATTCCGAGCAAAAGCCCAGAGCCAAAGAATGACGAAGACCTGGGCGAAAGTTCCCGCAAAATGGACGGCCCCAAGTCCCGACCAGAAAAATCGCATCTGTTAACTATGGACCCGACACAGCAGGAACTTCACATTGGAGATATCCTTTATCACAAACTTAGTGTCTTAGTTCCGGAACTGGCGGGCAAGGTGACGGGAATGCTTCTTGAGCTGGAAACGCCCGAGCTACTTGACCTTGTGGATGATGATGATGCTCTTTATGCAAAGATGGATGAGGCCCTCATCGTGTACAACGGATTTCTGATGGAAGAGGGTAATGACCCGATCTTGACTAATGAGAAAGGAAAAGACCAGCTACTTAGAGAGTTGGTCCTTCGAAAGGCGAGGAGGATGCGTGTAGAGAGAGCAGAAAAGGTGGCGGATATATTCCTGGAAATGGACATTGAAGACCTCCTCAACATCATCGAGGACGACGTAACGTTCAAAACTAGGACTGAAGAAGTGTTTGCTTTCTACGAACTGCACCTTACTCAAATGCGGAAAGTTTTCCCTTCCAGAAAGGCAAAAGATAAATATTTGGCCGAGCATCCTGAGTTTATGCCGCCAAAAATTACGCCATCGTCAGCAGCATCTTCCAAGGCTGGTGCTGCCGATGACACTGCTACCCATTTCAGGCCTGGTTCAGCTTCTGATAGCGCACAAAAGCTTCCTTCGGCGCTTGCGCGCGACTACTGGGATTTCGATGGTCTACCAGATAATGAAGAGCAACATACGAATACGGACTCTGGAGACCAACCCCAAGGATCTTTCACCGACAGAAGCACTAATACTAATGGGCTTGGAGCAGGCAATGAGTCACTAGAGGTTCATGCTTCTGAACAGGATCGCCATTCTACAATGCAAGATGACTTGGTTGGTGGGGTAGATGATGCTGAAGGAAGTGACCGCCAAAGTACTGGTGACAGGGGGCAACCTGATAAACCCACAACCCCTCTGGATGGATCAGGTGCAGCTACCCCCCAGGGAGATAATGTGCCACCTTTGGAGAACCCGCCACCCCCTCCGGGTCCTGGTAATCGGCAACCACGAAATCCACCAGAAGGTATTATCGGCCACCTAACTGACTGGCTCTGGGGAGATGTGGATGGCGCGGCATATGAAGTTGAAGGCGACGATGAACATGTTGTTGATGATATCGACGCAGAGGAGCCTTTTGTTCCCCGCAATCGCCGCGACGCTTTAGACCATGCGATTGACATTGGAGCACCAAATCTCGACGACCCGCGTGATCTAGTTGCGGCTGTCATGGACAACCAAGCTGATGAGCTCGATCCGAATGCTCCAAATGAACTAGATGATGCCGAGGACTTTGATGGGATAATGGACCTTATTGGGATGCATGGACCTCTCACGAGCTTGATCCAAAATGCACTCTTTGGGGCTGTCCTCATATCGTTAACGGTCGCTCTCGGTGTTTGGCTTCCATATAATGTTGGCAAATTGACGCTGCTGTTGACCGCTAATCCGATTTCTACCATAAAGTTGCCGCTTAAACTCGTCTTCAAGGCTGCTGCGGTGATACAAGACCTGACACTGGTCTTAATCGGCTACATATCCTACGCTCTCATCCGAATCTTTTCCATCGTGATGTCTTCTTTCGCCATCAAGCCCAACAAATTACTTTTATCGACAAGCGATACAGCGAATATGGCCTTGAACAGCTTAAAATTTGCCTATTCTGCGGGCGAGCGCGTCACGGGAGGGTTCATCGGTGCGATGGCGCAAATCCCCGACTCTGAGATTCCCGCGTTCTCAGCCGCATCCCACGAATCATTAATTCAGATTCAATCGCTTTTCTCGAAAGTCCTAGGGTTCATCACAGGCTCCAGTCTTGCCCAGGCCGTAATTTCAAGTACGGGGTCTGAAGCTTTACCCGCCTTTGATACTTCGCATCTCAGAGAAGCTGCAGCGGCAGTCGGTCAGTCGATTATGGCCTATCTATCTGCACTTCCATCGATGTTGGCCAAATCGGAAACATGGGTTATCAGACTCAATGCTCACCGTCGAGCAGAGCCCATTGATCTTGCACTATCATATTGGGATGGCACTGATCGAGCTTACGCAATTATAGCCGGATACGCGGCGTTCATTTTTCTCGGAGCTGCCTATATCAGAAAAGGCTCGCCGTTTTCGTCATCCCAAACCGGCAAGGACTGGGAGTCTACGATTATAGACGTCTTGAACCAGGCTGGTGGAGTCATGAAGGTTATCCTGATCATTAGCATCGAGATGCTTGTTTTCCCGCTCTACTGCGGCGTGCTATTGGACGCGGCAATGTTGCCGCTGTTTGAGAATGCCACGGTTGCTTCGAGGGCGATGTTTGCCATCACATCGCCGCTCACATCGGTCTTCGTCCACTGGTTCGTGGGAACGTGCTACATGTTCCATTTCGCCCTCTTTGTGTCCATGTGTCGCAAGATACTGCGATCCGGGGTACTGTACTTCATTCGCGACCCTGACGACCCCACATTTCATCCTGTCCGGGATGTACTTGAGCGGAACGTGGGCACGCAACTTAGAAAAATTACATTCAGCGCTACAGTTTACGGCGCTCTGGTTATGATTTGCCTTGGCGGTGTTGTGTGGGGCCTTTCCTTTGCATTCGTCGGAGTTTTCCCCATCACCTGGTCCTCGAATGATCCGGTACTAGAGTTTCCGGTTGACCTTTTGTTTTA